TAATCAAAACATGAGACGTATGTGTATGGCTACTAAAATTATCTTAAGTTTGGTGGTCGTTGTCTTGGCAACGAGACGCAAAAATCAACACGTCCTCGAGCCTGGTTTGTGAATGTTAGGATTTGGTCGTCGACTTTTTATAACAAAAGATTCATTTATTTTCCTGTCTGGGTGGTTCTGTGCTCTGTAGATGACTTTGAGATCTAAAAGAGGCATAGGGTTCATACTTCCCTCGATTTTAGCCTGAGTGTATTTTGCCAAAAAAATGGTCCTTACCTCTTTACAATACAAATACATTGAATCTTAACATACAGGGCTCATCATGGCCTAATTATGCGAACGTGTGCCTCTATGTGTGATGTGTGCAAGCTTAAAATCGCTTGTATGTGTAAGTGATGCCTGACACGTGTTGTGCGATGCGTGTTCAATTGAGGTCGTTTGCATGTAATTGATGCGCAACGTGTGATGCCCGCTTACTTCAACTGGCTTGCATACTTGAATGAGGTGTGGTGCGCGATGCCTATTTGTTTGAATTCGTTTGCATGTACACGTATGTTCGCACATTCTAATTCTTAGATAGACACCGTATCTTGGTAATGGCTGGCAATCGCGTTTTGTTTAACCCCTTAATGTTGGTGTCCTCTAAATACTGTGGCCCGCTGTTTCAATAAATAACCTGAAAATGGGGTAGGATCACCGGCAGGCAATTTTGATTTCACTTTTGCTTTTGTTTTGATAAAGGCATGTCGCCGAAATACTACCAAAACTATATCTCTATTCTCCTGTTTTTTTTCGGGGAATAAGGCTAATACTGCTGTCTAAACCAGGAAAAAGAGAAACACATGCATTGATATTTTAGATGCGTGTCTTTATCAAAACGGATATGAGTGGTTAAGAACGATATGTGATAAATAAATGAATACTACTGAGCAGCCAGCCACTCATAGGACCGTTGCCTGCGCAATACGGCAGACGCTTAACAATCACCCGAAGAGCTGACTTATGTACATTCACACTGTCTGTCCTAGCCAACCGAAGTGGCAGGGCAAATTCTGCGCACAATAAGCACGCAGAAGAACTACAGCTCTGTCCCTGCTTATAGAATTACAGCCCTAAGCTGTCCCCACATCACCACAGTCATTCATCGGTATTGATAGGACTACATCTCAAGCAAACGCACCGGGCGTCACAATCCCGTGTTCGGTGTACAACGCCATGAAATGACGAGCCCTTGTCGAGAGTAACGATTGTAATCAGTAATCGCCGTCTAACCATCGTGACATCGGATATCGCTTCTAGTCTAGAGGCCGTCTCCGGTGCGCTGAACTCGAAGAAACAGCCATCACAAGCCGATAGCAAACGCCAACCGCCACATCTGCCTTACCACGGCCTAGTGCCTGCTACTGTAACCGGAGAGCAGCAGGCGCCATTCGGGCATCTACCGCTCCCGCAGCCTCTCCAGGCGGTAGCGGAGAGGGCTCTCACCGTTGTAGACAATGGGGACGGAGTCCTCGAAGTAGACCACCGTGGGGAAGGCGTGGATGCCCAAGCCTTTTGCGAACGCCGTGTCGGTGGTCTTCACAAAGTGGATGCCGGCGTTATCGGCTTCGTTGTCAATGCTCTCCAGTTCAGCCAGGATAGCGTCGCGGTTCTTGCACTTTTCCTCGTCTGACAGACAGCGCAAATTGGCACGCACGTAACGCGTGCAACTCTCTGGGCATGTGTGGGAGACAGGAGTGAATACGTGTAAACATCTGACGCGGGGTTCAAGTAAGGTTGAGAAAGAAGTTTTCCCTTTTCCACACAATGCATTTCATTTGAATGGCATATTACCTGCAATTGCTGTTCGCGGGGGCGGATCCAGAGGGGGGGGGGAGGGGCACGTGGCCATGGCTCACCATTGGGCCCCGAAGGGGCCCATTGGCGTCGAAGGGGCCCACAGCCGGCTGAACAGGTGCATATTTTTTCTTAACACAAAACGCAACAAAATTGGGCGTCTTTGGACTTGTAGGCAACCAAGAACCGCCGCAAGCAAAAGTAAAGGGCCCACGAGTGGACAAAAACAAAATTTCAATGATTGAAAGGCTTTTATTTGGGAATTTTAAGCCTCATTGCGCTGTCCAGGGGCCCTATGCCGTTTCCGGGGACCTATATGCCACTTGCAGGGTAATTCTGATCGTTAAGCAACCTTCCACTTTGCCTCGATTTTTAGCATTTGCTCGGGGGGAGGGGGAGGGGCCTGGGCTGTTGCTGGGCGCTTCCTGTTAGGGTGCCAGGGCGCTATTGTCAAACAGGGTCCCTCCACAGATTCTTTCCATTCGCCGGAAAGGCTCTGTGGGCTATAGCTGGGAGCCAATATGTTAACCTGCCGGGCTATTTTCGCTTGTTCAGGCGTCCTTTATGTCGGTCTTGGTTAACCTACCGACACACTGGTGAAATGGTCATGGGCCCTCTAAATAGGTCTAGGGCGCTTCTAATTAGGCCCTCTGTGACTTGCTTAGGACCTTTGCTCTCGTCGGACGCCCATCTATTAACCTCCTTGGCCACATCGGTCTTTCGGGGCACACCAAATTGGGTCTTGGGTGCTTTCGTTTTTAATTGAGGGCCCTACGCACTGGTCAGGGCCCCATCCGTTAACCTCCTCGGGCACACTTGATTGTTCGGGGCTCCCACACTGTGTCTTGGGGGCTTCCTATTTCAATGGAGGACCCGACGCACCTGTCGGGGCCCTCCCTCTGTTGGCCTCTCGGTTACACTAGATTGTTTGGGGTCCCGTACATTAGCTCTTGGTGTATGAATTAAGGGCCCTGCGCTCCTGTCGGGGGCCATCCGACAATCTAATCAGGTGCACCCCATCCTTCGGGGCGTTATCCGCACTGGGTTTTGAATGCCTCTTAGTTGAATGAAGGGCCCTACGCCCTTGCCGAGCCCTTTCTGCTAAGCTGCTCGTGCACATTCAAGTGTTCGGGGTCATTTACATCGGATTTTGGATGTTTCTTACTTGAACGGAGGGCCCTACGCTGTTGAGGAGGGTCCTACCTGTTAACCTACTTTGGCGCACTCACTCATTTGGGGGCCCTCTATATCGCGTAGTGGGTATTTCATATTTGAACGAAGGCCCTACGCTCTACGCTCTACGGGGAAAAGCACTGGGCCACGCCCTATGGACCATGCCGAGGGGACCCATAGACTTCGAAGTGGCCGATAACCCGCTGAACGGACACATATTTTTAATAAAAGAACACAACAATATTGAACGCGTCAGGGCCTACAGACGACATGGACCGGTTGCAAACGCAAGTAAAGAGTTTATAAGCGAGCAAATTTAAATCTTTGATGAATGAAAGGGCGGTGATTGAGGGAAATTGTGGGGTTTATTATGGTTCCCAGAACGAGAACTAACACTGTTGCCCGGGCCATATATGTCCCCATGTCTGGTCAATCTGATCACCAAGGGACCTTCCCTTGAATTCTCACCCTTTTCCATTTTTTTTCGTAGGTGATCTCAGCGCTTCTATTGGGACACTGTCTGCTTTCATGCCTGGGTATTCTTGATCGACCGGGAGGACTCCACCGATTCTTCCTATTCTCCCAAAAGGCTCTATACGCTTTTTCCGGGGCCCCATATGCCAACGTACACTAAGCTGCTCAGGAGCCTTTCATATTAGTCTCGGATTCTTTCCATTGTTGGGAGGGCCTTGTGCTGTTGCTAGGTCCCATATAAGGTAAGACACCGAAACACTCGATGCTCAGGGCCCCTCTACCTTAATCGAGGACTCTTTTCCATTGATCTCATTTGCGGAGGACTTTTCACTTCTATCGGGCTCTTTCTGTTTACCTGCCCGGGCGCTTTTGATCGCACAGGGGATCACAAATAAAAAATTGTTATGTTAGTTACCAGCCGCCCGCTGATTACATCGCCCAGCCGGCTAGCCGTAAACAAGCTAGGAATCGAGTCAGCGCTTGGTTTAATGCTATTTAGCAATATATATATATATATATATATATATATATATATATATATATATATATATAATTTGCTGTATATATATATATATATATATACATATATATATATATGCTGTTTTCTAGTTATCTTAAACCTTTAATGGCCGAAATGCGATGATAGTTTATGGAGGGGGCCCGAAACTCTAGGGGGCCCCACAGCATTGCGTGTCTCCCCTTGACGAATTCCTGGATCCGCCCCTGGCTGTCCGCAGTTCGTGTCTGTTATGATGACATCATAGATGTACAACAATTCACAAATACGTTGTTCGGCTTACAGAAGAATACAACGAGGTAGTCGAGGTCGTCGACGAGCTTCTGCAGCGCATCCCCCTTAACTTCCTCGATGACCTCCTCCGTCTCAGCGTCCTTTACGTGCCTTCGACGTCGCGTGTGTCACTTCCCTTAGCGATTGAGTGTATAACACTTATCAGACCTCTGCATCACGTTTTAGCATATTTTGAATGCTAGGATATTTTGCACTCGTTTATCACTAATGAAAAATGTTATGTTAATTATCAGCCGCCTGCTGATTACATCGCCCAGCCGGCTAGCCGAAAATAAGCTAGGAGTCGAGTCAGCGCTTGGTTTATTGCTATTTAGCAGCAGATTTGAGGTTATTTTGCCTGTTTCTCTGGAACACTTAGCCTCAAAATCACCGGATTTCACGTGACGTGGAGAAAATGAATGAGCTCCATGCATGTGCATTAGGGTGTGGCATCAATAACAAAACCAAGTAAGAGAAAGAGATTCTTAGGCGCTGGAGCCCAAAAGGACACAGCATAGCAAAATTTCTTCCCAAAAACTCCTATTTGAGGTTCAGACATTGGTCACTTGATGGCCATATGTTGGAAACCTAATGTGTTACGAAGTATAAACTTGTATGAGCACGTTTGTTCATACTGCTTTTTGACTTCCACTTCTCTAAAACCTCCACTTCTTATGCTGTAAACAAAACCATTCATAGCATATGACTCAGAATATATTGCCTGGTGTACAACTTCAAACACCAATGTCTGCAGTCTGCACCACGGGCATGGAGAGGTGTAAGGACAACCGTACACACACCTTGCTCCTGACCGAGCATGCGTATTCGGTGCGCTGGCTGAAACAGCAGCTGCTGCGAAACCGGAAACCCGTAACGCGTGTTGGCGGAGGTCGCACAATAGCCAAAGTACCTTCACAACCGGGCTGCCCTATTGCCGAAGCCCCAGCCTCAGCCGCAGATGTTCTCGGCTGTGCGGCGCTGGCCCCACTCTGCTCTGCGGCGCGTGCCCGGGCACTGCTGCACTAGCCCCTGCCAGGCTGGTTGACCTGCGGCGGTGCCGTCTCTATTCTGCGGGCTGCACGTCTTAAACGTTTCTGCCGTCGTGCTGCTGAATCAGAAGGCAGAGACACAGTACGTGCAGCTTGTAGGAGCGCCGAGTGCTGGTCCAGCGGTGCGCCCCTTGGTCACTCCACTCGAAAGACTGTCCTGCATCTGCGCAGCGGGCGGACGCAATGATGCGGCGGCGGCGGCTGCCATACTGGGGCCTGCTACTACGACCACCTGCGGCAGACACATTTAAGGGGGCTGTGATGGAAGCACAAGAGTCACGAAATTGCATAAAAGTGAAACAATGCACGTTGTATTCATGCATGCATTTGCAATTTGCAATTTGCCCAATTTCGGCATTGAGATAAGTATGAATTTGAGGGATTGTAGAGTAGCTTAAAGCTGAAACGGGAGTATAGCACCTCTGAGGATGTGGTCAGTTAATAATTACCTGCCTACCTTCAGAGCAGATTTTTCTTAGAGTTGGCGGTGGGGAGAATATGTTGGTGCATGAGCTTGGCCGCGATGAGGCCATGCCGCGCCTCTTCTCCAATCACCGCCGAACATGCCTCGGTGACGGTGCGCACGGCCCTCTCCACCGCATGGGTATGAACCGGATAAGGCGGGATGGGCAATGGAGCGTGCACTATGCTTCGCAGCACGCCGTCGCTGAGGTCTCGTAGGAGTGGGGGTTGCGCGACTGGTTCGCGCCAGGAGATCAGCTCCGTGTAGCTCACAGCCTCGAAGTTGATCGTCTGCGAAAATTCTGGGGCCCTCGGTTGGCTGCTCGCGCGCGGCGCTGATGATTTGAACCGCCTGTTCGCGAACCACACGGTCCCCGTCCGCCACCACGGCCAGCAGCAGCTGTTCCGGATGGGCCCAGTACCCGTTGCGCTGGATGGCTGACTGCACCGTGGTCCGTGTGCGCTGCGGCAGCTCACGGAGCAGCGCGATGCTTCGGAACAGATTGCGTGAGCCCACGTCACAGCTGCCGTTCTGTCGAATGGAGGGCCACACACGCACATAGTGGCCAACCACGCACTAGACGAGGTCCCTGAGAGCCCTGCTGGGAGTCTCGGTGAAGATATAAGCTCGGAGCCGGCGAGCGGCCAGTGTCAACCATCTGAAAACAAAACAACAAGAACAGGTAAAACAATTCGTCCCGAACTGAGCACTAGGTCACACGAAAATTATTTTATTTTAACGCAACGGCAACACTTATCAGCAAGTATACTCGTAAGCATGAACCAACGAGTAAATGATACGACATACTGTGGCACAACGCATGGTAATGAGTAGGTGCTCAACGATGAGTACATGAAATGCCGAATGCTGCGTGAGAAAGTTTCAACATTCATTGCTATGAATTCAAAGACAAGACAGTACTGATAGCGTTGGTTTTGTTTGGCGACAATACTTATAACGTAGTTTGGTTCACGTAAGTATATATATATATATATATATATATATATATATATATATATATATATATATGTATGTATATATCCGTATATCTATTTCTCCATTTTCCTGGATATTCTGCATTGAATAAGGCTATTATTATTGTCTCATCAATATGCATCATATTTCGCGCAAATGCAGTTAAAAACGTCCAGAATTAGAACACGCCGTGCTTTCATATTTGCCTAGCATGGTTCAGTGGTCCGATTCGTCGCCGAGCTGTCGCGGTCCGAACGGAGCCGTTTAGTACACCTGAGGCCAGCAGGTACAGCAGCTGCTGGACCAAGTCGACCGGCAGGTTTGGCACATGCCCTGGCACAGGCTTAAATGCCGCAACGCCCCTTTTCCAGACCTCTCCGGCGCAGATCTTGCCGGTGGGTCCGGGAAAAATATTTCGGTCTCGTAGTCGTGCCGTCCAGGCTCAGCAGCAGGTGGCGTAAATTCAGCTCATTGCCGCGCAGCTGGCAGATGAACCAGTGCAGGCGGGTGACTCAGCGACCTGCCCAAACAGCCGGCACATTCCACCTATCACCCCTGTGTTGACGGCCGTGCCGTCGCAGCCGAGGACCTTGACGTAACCGTCGAACTGCTGGCTCACGGAGTGTAGCTCATTGAGTAAGTGCAGGGCGTGGCCGGTCTCGGGCGTGAAGTGAGTCACGTACCGGCTGCCTGGCTCAGCGATGACAACCACGTGTTCTTCGACGGCATTCGCGTCGCTATGTGTCACACAGGTCCTGTCTTTGCGGCCATCGAAACAGAGGCTAGTCAAACATGATCGTAGATTGATTTCGCATTTCGATGCGCAGCCTCTTTTTTTCGCTCTGTCTCTTGCGCGCCACACCTTCTAAGGATCTACATCTGAAGCAGCCAGTCCGCCTCTGCTGTCCTGTTGGAAGGCGTTGATGATGGCAGCAGCCGCCCGGTTCGAGATACTGTAGCGGTCAACCGCAGGAGCGGTGTTGGTGAGATCGCTAAAGTTACGATCTGCAGTGATAGCAGCCTCATCCGAAGGAAAGAAATCGGCGTCGTCGCCACTTTCTACCATGCGCGAGGCCAGATTCCGCACTCTCGGCTGACTCTCCAGCGCTGAGACCACTCGGTCCCGGAGCAGGCTCGAATTCAGCACAAGCAGCCAGCGCTGGCTCAGCAGGCAGCATGGGCTTAGTAGCCAGCGGGGGAGGCGATTCAGGTTTAGCAGCAGACACCGCCCCACTGGCGGTTGAGCTAGGACGCTACTGGAGATCCTCCAGATCTCGCGAGCCTTCCTAGCTACAGTCGTAGCCCGGTCATACGTTCACAAGGGAAGTCTCTAGTGCATGCGTTAGTCTTATAAGAAAGCAACCTTTTCTTCCGGCACTCTGTAGGCAGCTGGGCATTTGCAGCTGCGCTGGGACTCGCACTTACATTTTACGATGTCGAGAAGCTCACTGAACTTCGCGGTAGCGACGCTGTTATGTCCTTCCCTTTCCTTTTTCGGTGCTTTGCTGATAGCTTTGTATGATTCATAGCAATCCCTCTTGATAACTTTTGTGACGTACTTTATATCACGAACGGGGATCCCTTCGTTCGTCCACAGCTCACTGGCTTCCGCCGCCACGGCCGCCACTCCCACGGTATCAGTGGGATTCGTGTTTGATTCGCTTAGCCATCTGACGTAAGCTAAGGCTTCCCCCTTAGCCGTCAGTCGTCGGCAGTCGGCAGTTGTTATAAATATTAGCCGTTTTTTTGGTTCACGGCGGTGCTCGATAATGGTAAATCTAAGCCGTTCCACTTCTGCTACGCTACGAGACTACATCATCCTGTCACACACAGCTCTGGGAGGGACCTGACGCAGCTTACGCAGAACTGTTCTATAGCGAAATTCTGCTCTCTGGAATTGTTTCTCATGCACACCTCTTACGTATTTCGTAGGCTGGAAGTTTCGTTATCTCGTAGGCTGGAAGAGATCATTCATATTTGTATTTGGGGGCGGGGGTGTGGGTGAGTGGGCGATACGACTCTGTCAGTCGGCAAATCACGCAATGGTACGGACTGTTTAGGGGAGCAGGAAGAAGTCCGCCCTTAAAAACCCAGCAAGTTTCCTGTGGAGCAAGTAATCGCTTACCTTACCTGCTTTCAACACATGATTTGTAACCAAAGTTAGCCATTTTCTGTTTCAATCAATCGAGTTCTGTCCTAAGACAAATTGGAATAGTACAAGACATGCAATTGATTTATTTTGTTCCATATTTTTGATTATATGTTTCAAATTTCTTGAAGTGGTCTCTCATGGCTGCATTAACCAGACGTTGTCCACAACTGCTGACTTGCTGGCTGGCAAATGACTGTACTGTATAAATATATATATATATATATATATATATATATATATATATATATATATATATATATATATGTATATATATATATATATATATATATATATGTACTACGTCTTTAACACAGGAAACTCCAAGCAACATAGCAATTATAATATGAGGCAAATGTCAGAACGCAGCAAATAGTAAGCCAATTCCACTAAAAATGTGAAGCCAACACCTCACCTTTTGTCATTAAATATGAATAACCAAACCTGAACAGTTTTCGCCAGACAGCCTTCGCTGCAGCTCAAAAGGCCAACACTTTCTCGGGAATATTTGGTACGAATTCTTCCCAAGAGGGGACCGGTGCTTAGTACCGATAAGTACTAAAAGTGGCGGCGTTTAGTACGTATACGTACTAAACAGAGCAGCCCGGTAACCCAAGGCTGGCCAGAGGAAATAGGGCTGTGTAGAGGTGGACGTCGTGAATTTCTTTTCTCCCGGCGTCAGTACAAAGCGTCCACCATTTTGGGATCTCAATTCCCATTTGAATGCAAGTTGCTCCTAATGCGCGGCAAGTTCGGTCGTTGGTAGTCGGTGGCAAGGCTGTCAGTGGGGAGCACGGTGGAAGTGATTGGGAAGCGCGCCTGCCAGAAACTCTCGCGCATAATTTACAGAAAATTGTCATCTACCCGCTAAGTGTGATAATAATATATCCTGGAACACCAGGGCATTGGAAAAGATATTGTCATCTGGGTAGTGCAAGGAGTGGGATACTCGTCTTGAGATGTGGGTAGCATCAGACTTGGGTTTGACTCGAATGTCTTGAACCAGCTCCAGACTGGCTAAAAAATTGTGGAATCCGACTCAGCTCGTGACTCAGCCGTTCCATTTTTCATTTGACTAAGTTCAGACTATATTTCCCTTGGAGCACTTTACGCATGACCCATGGAGGTTGCAAAATAAGATATCAAGCTCTTGCTCTGATGTATTTATTACATATATGTTTTATATATATATATATATATATATAAACATACATATATCTATCCTCTGGTTTCTGGCTGAAAAGTGGGGAACTTCAGGATGAATAATATCGGCTTTTCTGTTCAGAAATTTTGGTAATTCTGTGCTGATGCTGCAAAAAGTTTTTTAACTTATGCAGCACGGTGTTAATTTGATACTGAATTAAGACGTGAATTTGTCTAGGGCGCACCATGCTTCCTTCCGCTGCCAATTTGCGTTCAGCCATATGACTTACTGGTACAACTTTGTTCGAAGTGATGAGCTCATGGCTCAGCTCATGAAATGCTTGACAAATGTGATTCAAGTCATGACCCAAACTAGTATTTGCCTAATGAGCAGATGCAGCCCTTAACTCATCCTAAGATAATTGGCTCAAGAGCAGATTCCCAATCCAGGTTGAGTTGAGCACAGTTCTGGCTAGCATGGTTATATGTGTCAAATCTTGCATTTTAGTAAATGGTTACCCGGTTATGGTGATCACGTCAGGCAAACTGCCATTATTCTGGCATGTTGACTGTGTTGTTGAAAAATATTTGTCCTAACAAGTTTGACATTCCAACTAGATTTCAACTGAGTCGTATCTTGACATCCTGGATGTGAACATATTTTTTTTAGGAGAGAGAGAGAGAGAGAGAGAGAGAGAGAGAGAGAGAGAGAGAGAGAGAGAGAGAGAGAGAGAGAGAGAGAGAGAGAGAGAGAGAGAGAGAGAGAGAGAGAGAGAGAGCGAGAGCGAGAGCGAGATAGAGCGAGAGCGAGAGCGAGAGCGAGAGCGAGAGCGAGAGCGAGAGCGAGAGCGAGAGCGAGAGCGAGAGCGAGAGAGAGAGAGAGAGAGAGAGAGAGAGAGAGAGAGAGAGAGAGAGAGAATCACTTTCTGGCTCAGATTTTGCAAATGCATGCTGTATTTCTGGATATTGCCACTTCAATTTTAGCCACTAACACAACATTGGTAGGAATTATCAGCCGAATTAGTGGAGTCACAATCATGACTCCTAGATGTGAACTTAACTCTGAAATAACTCTTAAAAACATTCGTGTCCTAGACCTTGATGTGTGCGGACGTGCCTCGCTGTGACGAATGCGACGGATCTCACCTGGTTCGAACGAAACTCAGTGATTTAGGCAGGGTTTGTACTAGAGGTAACATATATCTTCAGGTAATTTCTTTGCTCTCTTTGCATGTAATTAAGTAGGTGTACTTCGCCACTTTTTCATGTGAAATAGTTAAATCTAACGTAACTTAACCAAACAGTTCATTCGGGGGTTCAGAGAGGAGATGGAACAGATCAAGGATCTCGTAGCTGAGGCAGTGGGAAAATAAATGGAGCTATTTAAACGTGAGATAGCTTCCTTGAGAGATGAAACTCAGAAACTGAAACGGGAAAACTCTGAGCTTCGTGAAACGGTTAAACATCTGGAGGCTGCTGTCGATGAGACGAGGCAATACTGGCGGAAGTCTTCTCTCATTCTGAGTGGAGATGGTATCCCTGAGCCAATGGCAGATGAGACCACTGAGGGGACCAGAAGTGTTGCCCGCAAGGTCATCAAAGAAAACTCAAGGTAGACGTGAAGGGTGGAGTGGTGCCGTGCCACCATCTGAAAAAAACAAAAAAAGGGTGCTGGTGAAATTTCAGGACATGGATGGTCGGAACAATGTTTACCAGGCTAAATTCCGGCAGACTGACGATCCAGGCACCATCATTCATGAAAACCTCACTGATAAGCGAAATTGACAAGTCAAGGTTCCTGCCGATATGAAGCATGAAAATGACCAGGTCATGAACTTCCACACCAAAAACAGCATCATTCTGGCAAGGAGCTCATGTGACAAAAGATATGCATGCATACGGCCATGGTTCACACGCGAGCAGATCATTAAAGCCATGACAGACTCACCTATACTATCCCCTTCGGCAAACAGAAGCGTAGCAGGCCAGAATAGGTTCATATACCCTCAGACCCTGAACCACATTCTTGCTGGTCATGTGCTAAACAGAGCTGCTAATCTTGAGGAGTTTGTAACAGTTGAAGGCAGGCAGGCCCGACCTGAGACCAGACTCTCAAGTTCTAAAAAGTAGTGAGTCCATTGGTTAATGATGTCACCTGGCTAGGCTACCACTGGCACATTCCTCAGTTAACTACCCATACATTTATGATCTTCTTGAGAACTTGCATGTGACAATGGGTGTGGTGTACATACAGCTTACTGTATTATAATGCCTTATTTCTAGTATTTCTAGTAGAGGAATTTGCCAGTGGTGCCTGGCTTGGTGGCTTATGCCCCTCATAATAATGTGCTTGTTTATTCTAGGTACTTATCAAGCTCACTGCCCATGTTCTCATGTTGTGTCTGCATGCTAAAGCTGTGACTAGCAGAAAAGTCCTATCAACACAACCTGTTTTTGGCATTTATCATTCAACATATGCTTTCTCATTTTGAAGTCTTGAGCATCATATTGAAAAACATCTTAAAATGATTAAAATCTCTGATTTGATAATGATTAAAATCTCCCTTTTCTGAACTCCCTCTATGACCTGTATTCTAGATCATCCACTTTTCCTTACCTTCTTTTCCATCAACACCTTACTATATGGGTTCAACCCCAAATAATAAGGTGTTTAATCCATTTGCTTCAAACATGGATGGTAGTGATCCTTCACTATCATGTGATGATCATGAAAAACTAAGAGAAGCATGCACATTCTACTTACCTGATCAGGTAAAAACTGTTATTCCACACAACATCAGTGCACTAAACCTTATACATGTTAACATTCCCTCAATCCTGAAGAAGCAGGATGATTTAAGTAGTCTGCTTGCCCAGACTGATATAACATGGCATGTAATTTCTATATCTGAGACATGGCTGTCTGCGGCTTTGGAATTCATTATGACTTACCTGGGTACCAAGGTTTCTACTGCAGCAGATCAAAAGGGGTAGGTGGTGGATCAGCAGTACACATTGCTGATCATCTTCATCCTACACAACTTAACAATCCAGTTTTCTCTACAGCTAAAGTGGTTTGTGCTGAACTACCCTGTGATAGTGCCCAGCACTGACAAACACCACTTCAACTCAGAGCTAGAACAATGCCTAATTTGGCTTTAAAAAATGAACAAAGTGACATTTATTGCTGGTCATTTCAACTTTGATCTGTTCTCACTTGATATAAATCCTAATGTGCAAGCACTTTTCACTAACATGTGTTCAAATGGCTTCTTTCCTAAAATATCCAGGACAACTCGATCTTGCTATCCATCATGTACTCTTCTAGATAACATATTTTGCAATGTCTTATCAAAAGTGATGCATACAGGCATTCTCCTTCATGATTTGTCTGATCAGTTCCCTATTTTTGCTTCCATGAGTTATGCCTCACACCCACACTCCCTTGATGGTAGAGCACCTATTACCACATTTGATTATAGATCGCTGGAAGAATTTAAACAATTCCTTGTTGATCACCTTGTTTATATTGAAAATGAGCCAGAACCTGGTGCTGTTGCAAATCAAATTGTGTATGCTTACATTGCCAGGATCACCAGGTTTTCTCACACAAGGCACATTTCTCGAAAAACCAGCTCACGCAAACCATGGGTGTCACCTGCACTTCTTCTATCAATTACACATAAAAGTAAGCTGTTTGAACAGAAATTGAAGAATCCCAGTCTTGAAAATAATGCAACATACACTTCTTACTGTATCATTCTAACTATATCTCTTAGGGTAGCCAAAAAGAAATACTACAATGATTAATTCAGTAAACATTCTGGCAACTCCAAGGAAACATGGAAAACATTACGCACTCATCAATTCAAAACAAAAAGATGTAGATCCAACCAGGATTACTGGAACTGATGATAAAATTATCAGACGCTCCGGATATCGCAGAATCATTTAACCACTTCTTTAGTGAGATTGGATAATAGTTAAAAGACAAGATTCCTAAATCATCGTTCTACCCCCTCCAGCTCATCACAGATGTAGAAAATGAAACGGATCTGCCCCCCCACTAATGAACAGGAATTAATTCTTGTTATGGATGGTCTGAACAACGTCGGAGCTGGAGTCGACAATATTAATTTAAAAATATTCAAGTTATCTTATAAGGTTATACTCCAGGCAATTGTCCATCTTTTCAACAGCTGTTTGTCCTTGGGGATATTTCCGAGCATTTTCAAAAAAACGTGATTAAACCCATCTATAAAAGTGGGGACTCGCAACTTGTAAATAACTACAGACCTATCAGTAATTTGCCATTCATGTCCAAAATTCTCGAAAAACTTATATATAATAGACTCGTCCTTCATCTAAACCATAACCACCTAATTCACCAAAATCAGTTCGGATTTCAGAAGAACAAAAGTACCTACATGCCAATTGTTCTTCTGCAGGAAACTATCACTAAGGCTTTTGAAAACGGGGAATGTGTGTTAGGTTTGTATTTATATTTGAAAAAAACCTTTGACGCTGTAAACATAAACTTTCTTCTACGTAAACTTACTAAATATGGTATTCGACGAAAATCTCATGAAATCATGTCTTCATAATTGTGTGGCAGAACTCAATGTGTAAAAATCAGGAATTATCTATCAACACTCAAAAACGTAGTAATGGGGGTACCTCAAGGATCCATTCTCGGCCCAATTCTCTTTTAATGTACATAAATGACATACCCAAATTAAGCAGTAACACGATTTGTCTGTCTTGCGCAGATGATACTGTGATTGTTTTCAAAAATAAACGTATTGTTGAACTTCAAAACAATGTCAATACGCTTTTGCTTCTAATGACTTCCCGGTTTGCTGCTAATTTTCTTTCCCTGAACGTATCAAAAAAATTCACACGGCATTACACTACCCTTTCTTCGCGTTTCGAACTAAATGTGCAAATTAATAATTCGCCTATTGAAGAGAAAAAAAAAAAATACCTTGGTGTAATTATTGACAAATCTCTTAAATTTACAAGCCACACTAATTTTGTTGCAAGCATAGCAAGTAGAAATATTGGAATAATAAGTAGGGTCAGGTACTTTATTGATAAAACAACATCACTTCTACTGTATAACACCTTGATTCTTCCTTATTTAAATTACTGCTGCTTGATTTGGGGTATGAATTATGCTTCCCAACTAGATCGGTTAGTAATTTTGCAAAAAAGGGCTGTGCGTCTTATAGAAGATGTGTATCCTCCACAACGCTCAGAGCCAATCTTTAAACGACACACAATTTTGAAACTATCGGATATTGGTAAATCCCAAGTGTTAATTGTGATGCACAAATTTTTAACTTCACAGCTCCCTGCATCATTCGATTTAGTTTACAAGCTCTACGAATCGAATGACATGGATATGAGGCGAGCAAAACATTTAGACCAACCTTTCTCTAATCGTAATTAGATTATTTACGGCATCTTGCCTCGGCCCTAAGCTGTGGAACAACACTATGGTTTCATATTTTCCAAGAACAACTGATATTCCTGCATCAAAAACCATCGTTAAGAACATCATCCGCAAAAACATGAGTACATATTAACGCAACCAACATATTTGAAGACATTGCAATCCTTTGTGCTGTTCATATCCAAGGCACTTCATATTTGACCTCCTTCATGTTTCATAATCAATTTCTGATATAAGTCATGCACATATACCCAAATCCACGGCGCTGGCTCCGGGAGTTCTCCCAGCAACAAGCTCTGCTTGGCTGGGTGGACTCCCTGGACATCCAGCCCAAAACCCGGCACAAAAATGACCAGGTAATTACCCCCTCCGACTAGCGTGACTGTATGGCCCTTATTAACACGGTGAATTGAGTGGTTGTAGCTTATTGGGCGGTTATATAGCTAGGTTTAGGTTTACTATGATTTTTGTAAACAGATTTGCTTTTTGAAAGTGTTCCCATGTGACTTAATGGTGCTGAAGCTATGAAAGTTTTCAGATATCACTGGATGGGTCAATGCAACAACAGCCTTCCCCGCTTTGATCTGGCATGTCATATCGCCTCAGTACCGATATTGTAGGGCTGCGCATCCAGTAAACCAGAGGTACGGGGTTGGATTCTCCACGGTGCCCACTCTTCCTGCCAGGATGGGAGGCAGGCGACGCCACGTAGCCTCAGCATCTGAGTGCGGTGTAAAAGCCAAGTGACGAAAACGACATCACAGGTCACACGTGGCGATGTTCACCATTTTTACTCCTCTGGTAAAGCTTTCCGAACCCATGTGACGCCATGCTCTGTTTTGTCTTAGCAATTTTAGTTGTGTGCATAAGAGGAGGCAGCCAGGAGTTCTAATTAGATGCATATGACCTGATTGATCTGTCCAATATTACGTTCACCCATATTCAATCACACCCATTTAATGCAGCTTGACTAGAGCTTTCCGATGCCGTGTCCGCCGTGGCCATAACCTGCTAGTTTCCAATATCTTTCGGGCAGGCCCCGAGGCTCCATCATTGGGCGAAGGTGAAAAACTCGCATAAGACCGGGCCTTTCATTGCCGGGTCTGTCCTTTCTTGTCCTGTCCTGTCCTGTTTTGTCTTGAACAGAACATATAAGTGTGCGGTGGCCAGGACGGGCGGATTTTGTGTTTATCTGTTTTCTGTTTTTCATTCTGGCCGTCCTTGTCCTCTGTCCTCCGCTTTCTGCCCTCTGTAGTCAGTCCTTGGATTTTTGCCCCCCGCCCAAGTCCTCTGTCTTCTGTCCTACCGTGCCATCTGTCATGCACTACCGCATGTTCTGCTGTTTCGTTTGTCCCATCCTGTCCCGTCGCTTTCCGGTATCTAGCTTTTGCGCCGGGAGAACATCCTTGCTATGTCTCTGACGTCAGAGCATGCATCACGGTGCCTTTTACCTACAATCGATTTTTCAGCGTTGGTACTAGCATGATTAGTGAAAGGAACGCTCCAATAATTTACGTTTTATGCGAAGAAAGTTTACCAACAAAAAATGTCACATACTCAAACGCATACTAGGAAAAAGTGCACTCATACCAGATAATTCGTTCGGAATTGATGTCCGAAACACGGAGCCCCTAACGTTACGGCGCCAACAGTACGATTTGTCCATGATATCTAAGAACCAAATCGTCTAATTAAAAAATTCAAACTGTGATTATCCCGTGCAACTGCACCCAGGTATTGATGTGCCATATATAACATGCTTGACGATGTTACAGGCAGTCTATATCACCTTAGAAATCGTTGAAATCTTCAGTGACCTCAGGTCAACTGAAACCAGTATTTTGAAACCAATATCAGAGCAAGTATACCAGCAATATTGACCGTAGACCTGCGTAACTAGGTGAAACGAACGAACGTCCGTCCGTGTCCGTTAGGATTATACAACACAACTAGAGTTTGGAAGAGTCATGTCAGTTCAGGCTAAGGTCATGTCAGTTCAGGCTAAGGTCATGTCAGTTCAGGCTAAGGTCATGTCAGTTCAGGCTAAGGTCATGTCAGTTCAGGCTAGGTCATGTCAGTTCAGGCTAGGTCATGTCAGTTCAGGCTAAGGTCATGTCAGTTCGGGCTGAGGTCATAGCAGTTCAGGCTGAGATCATGTCAGGTCAGGTCAGTTCATCTAATGCAGTTGTTTTGCTTCTCCGGTAAGTGTCATGGATTTGGATGAGTATGTTTGAGGTATTTATTACTTCTACTTTCCGCCCTATTTATCTCAAACGGGTGTACCAAGGCGCTTTACTTCAACACGAATTTCGCCTCATATGACGTTTGATGGTAACGCAAGGTAGGGAGCTTTGTGTGGTGTGAGCGACCCCGGCTGTAGGATAAGACAGAGGATGGTCGAGAATCTTGTTTTTGTCACGACGGACAAGCTGCGACATTTTGTTTCACCCCAATATCGTCAGGGTCGCAAAGTGAGAAGGAAATGTGGGTTATCAAAACCTCTTCCATCGTGTGTCATGGACGGGCTGAGCCATCCGTTTAGAAATTATTTGGAGGTGTGAAATGATTTGTGGTGTAGACAGTGGAAGGAATTTCCCAGGTTCAACTAAAAGTGAACTCAAGTTTACTATGGCTTTGTCTGTCGAGCGTGCCGTCCTGTTAGGGCTCTCTGCTTCCACTCTTAGAATTTCACATGCATTTGAGTGTTATTTAGGTGCACGGGCTCTTCCGTTCAAGGGCTCCGTCGTCGCCGGCTCTGTCGTTGTGCCTACAGATCCGGCGCGGTGTCGGCAGTAACAGCGTCATGTCACCAGCTCTGACGTAGTTTCACCGTATTCAGCGCGTCATCGTCACCTTCGTGGTATCACGATTAAGAGCTACGTAAGCCCTGTCATATGACTTCTCGACAAATGTTAGAATTCTTACGGTCTGCAAATTCCAAAGTCTAGTCCGGGCAGCCCACACGCACAGCGGTGTCGCCTCCCTCGAAAAACTAACTGATCTTGAACTGGGGCACACCACTAGGTATCCAGCATTGATGCTCTGTAGCCAGGTCATTGTGACGGCACTGGCTCCGATGCCGTGCACCAAAAACCGTCACAGAGCATCAGGTGTGCTATGTAACCGCCTATTTGTCTCAGGTGCGATGCTGGGAGATTTAGCATGGCATAGCGATCTCCTTCGCCAGGTCAAGTTTGTTGGCATGTTTTCTGTTGAGAAAAATGTGGTGGACCGTGTGCAATCAGCTCAGAGATGCAACTTGTGTGTGGGCGTTTAAGTGTACTTTGTTGCCGGCACGGGCTATGCGACACTGTACGTGAACGATTGAGTCACTAATAAATGATGTGACGCATGGTGCATTGTGCTTCGATGTGTATCTACGTTGTTTCTGAAAGGAGGTGACATCGAGAACTACACAATGGAAGCAGATATGAAATTTTAGGGAAATTTTGGAGAGTAAAACGAAGTTTAGGGATCTGTGGAACTTTAAAGAGGAAGGAATGTTTTTTAGGAAGAGTCTGGAGAACAAGACAAGCGTTGGAGAATAACGTGGTATAGAGGAGAGCCTGGGTAGGTTGAAGAGGGAGGACACAGCGCAATAAAGGCTCCTGATGAAAATCCTCAAAGGTTTACCGGAATTCACCTAATTTCCCCCATCTTACAATCAGATACCGCTGGCGTTCGCGCTCCTAGAGGACATCAATGGATTTTACAAACTTAAGAGACCCTCGGATATGCGGGACGGAGGAAGACTTTGGTAGAACACTATGATGGCAGATATACTGATTCATAGCACACTCCACTGCACTACACTAGTAAATGGTAACAAACCAGGGGGAGGGGTGCTACCTTTTCCGGTCAGTGGCTAAAGAACCTTTTCATCCCAGCGCAAGGTATTCACCAGCAACCATCTCGCGACATGGGAATCGGCGCCTCTTGATTCATTCCGAGGATTCATTCA